TGTCCACTAAACCCTACTTTTCTTTTCATGATTTTATAACATATAGTTTAAAAAGCCATATTTGAAAACCTTATGAAATCCTTGTTACTTTTTCAATGTTTTTGAAAGAAAAAAGGTGCCAATGTTAAATGTATGAAAAGTCTAGAGAGAATCATTTCCCGCCAAATTTTCAATGGCTTATATCTCGAAAACAAGCACACGGACCCTTCATTTTTTTCTGCTTTTTCAGTTCCTTCATTTATATACTATCAATTTATGACAGTCTTTTAAAAAGCTTGTTATTTTGAAAGAGAGTAGCGAACATCCTTAACCCTCTTGATGCCACATTAAAAAAATCAACGTTTCGACGTTGCCAATGGGCAATGACAATTTGACGTCGCCAGTACCAAATTCTTTTGACGTCGTCTTTTTGGCGTTTTTTTTTTTCTCATATTGATTTATAAAGTTGTTTTTTCTACGCGACCGGCATTCACAATAGCGGTGACCAGGAGATCATTTTGATAATGCTTAATCATGTAATTGACCGATTAAAATTTTCTATACAAATTTGCTTCTTGATGGACCAAGGAGACTCATGAATGTAAAGTTAACTGATACATTTTTGAAAATACTGTTGAATTTGTGCAATTTACGTGTTAATTACTTTACCCATTTAAATTTTCGGCTGATATAATTCTCCAAAACGCAAGACCAATTATTAAAAGTTCTTTTTTTAATTGCAAGGGAATATTGTAAAGTATTATGCAATACGTATTTACCACCTACAATTTTGGCTATATATTTTCATATCATAACAGTCTTTAAAAATATATTTTAGGGTTTTATCTTCGATTGTTTTTGTTTTCTACTGATGTGAACATTGATATTAATATTTTGCAAACTAATTTGGGTAAAGTATATGACAAACTTCGGGATGAAAAATTATTGTTTATATCACCAGTAAAAGATAATTGTCCAAGGATAAATATTACTTATAAACATATTAGATTTGTGATAATTTTTTTCTATTAGTTGATTGAAATCCAATTAGAAATAACTTTATAAAATTTATATTTAAAAAATGTAATATATAGCCAAAAGTTGTTCGTGAAAAATACTTCTCGGCCACTGTATAAAAAGGAGTTGTACATAATTTCTTCTAAAAGGGTAATGAAAGGTCAGTTATAATCGTTTTTCCCCATGTTCAAGAACTTTTATTTATCTATAAGTAACATTTTGATTTAACAATTACCGATAAAAAAGAAGGCGAGTAATGTCGTGATATTTTAACCTAGCAACATTGTCCTGTGCTGTCTCTATACATAAACCATGTGAGCAGTAGTCTTTTTTTTATATTACATGTAAGAACATTTTTTTCTTGCATTTAATGTTTAGGAATAAATTCAGAAGACGGGCTTAAATTTATCTTAACTTGTCTCGACACGGGACTATTAAATATATGAAGTTATATAGATGTGATTGCGTATTGAATGTTTGTCAACCTCTGTTTGTCATGATTTTTTTTAATTTATTGTGTCTTTTGATGTAGGCCTATACCACTTCTTTTTATCTTGGAGATGGGGTATTGAAGGTAACAAGATTCATTTTGTGTAAATTTCTGTAGAACAACCTCAATTTCAAAAACGTACAGCAAATAAAAAACAGTATGAAAGAAAGTATTGCCCGTAACTATTATCGAAAATAATTTTAGTACCCATACTCCTTGTATTCTTCACCTGCAAAACAACTTATATCATTTCTAAATGGTATATTTTACATCATTAACCGAATCAAAAGGTAAAAAATAGTTCCAGATTTTAGAGGCCGTAATAACCGCTGCTGGTTTTGTGTAAAAAAAATTGTGCCAGTAGAGGGTGTCTCCTCTTATATATCTTTTCGTGTTCTCTTCTAACGAATGCATAGACATTGGGTGTTCATTTTGTATTTTTTAATGTGAATCATCGCACAGAGAAGTACGATTATCGACAAGATCCTTTTAAGTTAAATTACAAAAATGACTTTCGAACACTCGGAGAACATATTGTTTCATCAGTTTATTCTCTATAATTTATTTATGAATATTTCATGACCAGGTCTGTGGTATCTGTTTAGTGAAATTCAAATCCCTAGCTTCTGTTAAATCCGGAAAAGTCAGACTTCAAATAAAAAATACTGGTCCCTCAGGCTTTAAAATTTCAAGCTGGATACAGATGGTGCATGCATGGCTAAAAATACCAAAATAATATCAAAAACATTCAGTAACTTTCATTTTTTTTTCAATAAATGATTAAAAACTTGTGTGTTATACTTGAACATGAGTATGAATAAGCCATATAGTATTAGAGATGAGGTTTTTCACTACAGTCTAGTCTATATTTAATAAGACCTTATGTAGTATTATGAATTAGGTCATTAATTTTCTCAATTGAATTATTTCACATTTTTTTATTTCGGGGCCTTCTATAGGCGACTAGTGGTATTGTTTTTCTCATCGTTGAAGGCCGTACGGTTGCCTGCAATGCTGCTGACATCCACTTCTTTTCAACTTTGGTTTATTGTTGTCTCATTTGCAGTTATACCACATTCCCTTATTTTTATATTATAAGTATAAAATATTGGTCGCTGAACTAAATGACATGCAATTAATTAATCGTAAATTCAGTTTTAAAATAGCTTTACTTAAAATTTGAATTAAATATTTCGTCTATCAACTATGTGGAGCCGACTGAAATTGTCCGTCAATAATGCACCATATAATGTTAAAGATACGATTTCATTCTAAAATGTTTGTTAAATATTTTTCCTGCGGTGTTCACACAAATAAAACAGTAGAAGTTCACGAAATATATGTTTGTAAAAAATGGAATTAAACCTTTCCTCCTTCACGACAGGAACTCAGCTAGCAACAATAAAGAACACTTTGAAACATCAAAAGGAGTTAAAAACATGGTTAAATTTCAATTATCGAAAACTAATAAATACGAAATTTTGTTTACCAAATTAAAGTAAAGTATTTGTCGCTTATCAGTCAAACACCATTTGGATAAAAGGAACTCAATTTAGATAAGAAACTGTAGGCATTGGCAGTGTGTATTTTATCGACAATGTTAGGGAATTTCTGTTGAGTTCCATGTTTAAAATTAGTGTTTTTCTAAATTTTCATAACTCCAAATCTCAATATTCTTTTGATATTTAGCGATTCCTAACTGTGCGTTCTCATGGGTGGACCGATTTCCCGTTTCGGACTGAGAGGGTAAACACATAAACATTACTATTCGAACATGCGTAATGTGCGAAACTTTCTAAAGTACTTTTCAACACACAGCCTGGCGAATATGTCGGATATGCGGTTAATAAAGTGTTTTATATTATGTTAGTCTGGTAAGTTACAATGCCAAGAAAAGGGCGGCCCGGTCTTGTTGTTCAATTATCTTGTGTTTCCAGCTCTTATGTCGATCTTTAAATCGTCAGCATCAGTGTCATGTGCGTGCATGCAAATATAAAAACCAACGTTGTCGTTTGCCGCTGGAAGACAAGTTTTTTTTTCAGAGAAAGAAAACTCAATTTACTTGTGCCATAATTATAACGTCACAATGACGTCATGGATATTACGTCATTGCTCCAAAATACACTTAGATGACCGATGGTCAACAATGTTATAACGCATTAATTATTTAGTGTAGTATAGGTTGCAAAGTTTTGATTTATAATACATACTTATTGTAATATTGCTGAAACGACATATATGTCGCCTTGGCATCAAACCCCCAAACGACTTATATGTCGCTTTGGCATCAACACTGAAACGACATATATGTCGCTTTGGCATTAAGAGGGTTAAATGTGTTATATAAGCCATTTTTGTATACATATAAGACATATAAGTACAATTATCATTTAGATTCATCCAAACCTATCTAACTATGTTATTGTAAATAGTTGCATGTCATTTATTCAGTTTGCTGTGGTCTGTTACGTCAATTAAATAATCTTCTTAAAACCAAATACATTGTGTGTTCTACAAAATGTACTTTTTTTCGTGTATATTTGGTGCTATGTTTGGTCTTAGATGTTTGTAAAACACTAACTATAGATGGTGAAACAAAGGGGTAACAACAGATATATTCTTCCCTAGTACTTGGTTCGGTCACTTATCAAGGTGGTCAATAATATCCTGTTTCATGACTACAAACCACGCATTTGTGTCATAGTCATTCGTGGCTCCAGTTGAAACATTATTGCGGGAGACTTTAGGAGGTCATACGTTATTTTAATCTACTAAACCTGTAGTGACCAAATATTGTAAAAGTAGTTGTATCTGTCAAACCTATACACTGTATGGAACTCGTTGAATACTCTTATGAAACTTTTATCCTTATTGAGTTATGTGTAAAAATCAGATGAACCTTTCGTGGTTCTTAAAGATTAATCACGTGATTACATTTTATTTATACTGTGATATTCATATCTCTCTTTGTTTAAAAAAAGACTTGCAGGATGAACAAATCGCGTAAACATTTTAAAAAATGTTTACCCGCTTTCTGAGTTTGTGCAAAATCATTTAAAATCTTTTTTTGGTATTCTATCAATCTTCATGACAGTAGATACGAGATTCTTGTAAAAAATCGTAAGTACTAAATTGTCTATATATCTATAACAGTCTGGGTTCTAATAAATGCTGAGTGAAACAAAGGATATAACCGTATTACGTTTGTAGAGGCGTGCAAACCATATCATACTTGTAGAGGCTTGCAGATGCTAAATTGATTTTTTTTGCTTATATGGGTAGGCTTCATTGTGCTAATTGAGTGTTATGAGAGAAAAAAACTTACCTTTGAAAGGTTATAATAGGCCATTACTTGAACTTTAGCGAAGACCCATCCTTTAATATCTTGAATTAATTCCATTGCTGTTGAATTTTCATTGGTCACTAGTGAAAGTCATACCTGTCAAATCAAAATATCCAGCTGTCCATATATAAAGACAAGCTGATAACATATTTAGTTTTAAAAATTAGCACAATGGATACTTTTGAAGAGGAAATGAGGATATCAATAACGGTTGTATGTTCTGTATTGATGATATTTGGAATTCTGGGAAACATTATGATCATACTTACAATCCTAAAGAACAAGAAACTCCGAGTTATGATGAATGTATTCGTTGCATTACTGGCGTTTATAGATCTTCTTATCATTTCGTGTCTCTTGCCGTTTAATTTGTATACAGTTCTGACAAATGGCGAGTATGTAAGTAAAACACTGTGTAAAATCAACGGAATAATGGTCCATATGTTGTTTACGAGCAGCCTCCAGTATGTCATGGTGATTAGTATTTCTAGATACGTAAAAATATGTCATCCTCAGAACTTTATCTCAGTTTTTAGTCCAGTGAACACTGTCTTCATATATGTTTATTGTATGCTGTTGAATGTGGCGTTTGTTCTTCCGTTAGTTTTTGATTTTGAAGAAAATGTCATCTTTGATCGATCCCTGCACATGTGTATTTTTAGCCGGTTCGAAAGCAAGATGTATTCTTGGGTTTTCGTAACAGCATGTTTATTTGTACCTGTCGGTGTTACAATTGTGTGTTACATGAGAACATATCACATCGTCACTGAAAGTCGAAGAAGAATTCATTTAAGTTATGTTCACACAGTAAATAGAAATTCAGATAAACTTGCATCAATCAGACTCCAGTTTTGTGTGTTGATTGCTTATTTGTTGTTGTATATTCCGTTTGGAATAACATGTTTGCTCAGAAAAGAGACACTTCCAGATATGTTTCACACAATATCAGTTTATTTGGTCTACACGTGCAGTACTATGAACGCTTTGTTGTATGGATTATTCAACGGGAATATACGATCAGTATATTTCAAACTATTCAAACGATTTAAAAGAAGACACGGGCAAGTACTACCAATACCTAGGCAGGCATCGAATTCAATTTTTGTAAACGTATTGCCAATTCCGGGTAGAACTATGGATGATATACGATTGGAAATATAAAAAAAGACATGTGCAAGTACTACCAATACCTAGGCAGGCATCGAATTCAATTTTTGTAAACGTATTACCAATTCCGGATAGAACTATGGATGATATACGATTGGGAATATAAAACTAACTATTGCATCTGTTTAAAAGTAGGGCAAGTGTAAAATAATCTAAAACAATATCATTCTCGTTAGAATATTCAGATGATTATTAATGAAATAATATTATATATTATGAAATAATAAAATCATTTAGTTTATTTTGTATTTAGTTTTCTCATCACATTCATCACATTCATCACTTGGTTGCAAATGTCCTTCGTGTAATAAGGTGTCATCGACTTGGTTTAGACTGAACTATCTCTTGTAAAAGTAAAGGTTCTTCAAAATTTCCATTTCCTGCATTCACACATTTCTTTGTCTCACAATCGAATAGACAAGAAATTATTCATTGATTAAAACGAGATCAAATATTGCTTAGTTTTATAATTTGTTTCCCTTTTATGTAAACATTTATTGGGGGCTGTTGCTTTAGTTAGTTTAAAATCTGTTACACCTTTATGAATTGCATTATCATTAATTTAAAAAAAAAACTTGTGACGGGTTTGCTTCCCTTCGGGGGTAGATACTTAGTCAGTCGTAAGCGGTTGAGCTAAGGAAGTACTTCTTTAGCTTAGTCGGTTAACGCGCTGACTTGTAACACAGAGGTCCCGGGTTTGATTCCCGGAGGAGACAAAGATGATTTTGTAAGAAGACTCATGCTCTCCGGTTACATTTTGAGCCCAACTAAAAAACCCACGGTAGTAAGAGAGGATTTCTAGCTAGGGTATGTGTGTGAGAGGCATAATGGTATGATGACTCTTGAGGTGGGGGAAGTGTGACGGGATTGCTTCCCTTCAGTAGTAGATACTTAGTCTGCCGTAAGCGGTTGAGCTAATGAAGTAGTTCTTTAGCTTAGTCGGTTAACGCGCTGACTTGTAACACAGAGGTCCCGGGTTCGATTCCCGGAGGAGACAAAGATGATTTGTAAGAAGTATCATGCTCTCCGGTTACAAACTGAATCATACAAAAAAGGTTTTATTTATTTCCCTCCACCTATCACTGTAATACTACAATTAATAGTGAAGTCCATCTTGAAAATATGAAACGAATAGTATTGACCACTCACTGGAATCGTTTAATGAGCTACATTGACATTCTCTTTATGTCTAACGCAAAAAGATAAATAACTCTTGGTACATGTAACCACATCGCTTCGATCAAAATTGAACAGATCATCCTGAAGAAGTAACAAAGATTTTGGAGAAAAAAATCAAGGTAACTGAGGAGAAGCATATCAACAAAACAGTATACTAAGAGATAACTTCCATATGGAAAAGTGGTCAGTAAACAGGATGAGTTTCTAAAACCCAATAATTGTTCGATGCCATATACAAAATATCTAATCGACTTGTTTCGGCGAAACAAAAGCTACATTTTAGAAACAAAACTGGCGGAAAAAATCAAAACGAAATCGAAAGGTATTTCCACGGAAAGGTAGAAAGACAAAGCCTGATTACCCTTTATTTCATCTAAAATTACACAAACTGAGGGTGTTGAACAATTGGACTAGTAATACTTAATCAACTGTTCTGTAAATATTTATTTCTGGTAGAATAACCTCATTGGCCATAACTCTTATGAAGCAGGATCTACTTACCCTTTCGGAGCACCCGAGATCAGTCTCTCTTCGATCTATGAGTTTTGATATCTTCTGCCTCTTGTAAATTGTCAACCCGTGTAACATGTTATTACTAGCATTTCGTTAAATTTGAACTAGCGCACTGCCAACAAAAACCCTTTGTGTCACTATGAAAACTTGTTTTACACAATGCACCACCATTTAGCAAGAGTTAGCGTACTCACACTTGACACCACCAACAAAGTAGTTTTACCAAAATATATACTTTCAGGACACTATTAACAAACATTGTGCCTAATCAAATGTAATAAAAAAGGGTTACAAACAATAGAATAATAAACCTCAAAAATAAACTTAGACGACACACTTAACATCTAACACGTCATTATACCAATAAGAAACTGACACCATCATCCTTATTCTGAATGTGAATGCCATTGCAAAACACACTTGTCAGAAACCCCAAAACAACTACCCGAATTCCACGTTAACATATATCAATAAGCATAAATAAAGTTAACAACATTACAACAACTGATCATTGTATGTGCATGTTTATTAACATACTATATAACAAAATATTAATTTTTCAGTCCACCCCGCGCGGAAGTAGTCAAGAAGACATTTGAGGGACGCCTTCGGGTGCGGGAGTTTCTCGCTGCATTGAAGACCCATTGGTGGCCTTCGGCTGTTGTCTGCTCTATGGTCGGGCTGTTGTCTCTTTGACACATTCCCCATTTCCATTCTCAATTTTATTATTATTTTTTCAGGGGTTGACAGGATACACGTAATCGTTATAAATTTTAACTTCATGGTTAACATACTATATAACAAAATATTAATTTTTCAGTCCACCCCGCGCGGAAGTAGTCAAGAAGACATTATTATTTTTTCAGGGGTTGACAGGATACACGTAATCGTTATAAATTTTAACTTCATGGTTCTTATGCAAGCAAATTTGATAAACAATGATTTTATACAGTTGTTTTATTGTTTTCACCTTACATCGGGCTTTATTTCTGATCTTATTTCTATGTACACTATTCTGAATCTACATATTTCACCTTTATCAATATTAGGAAATCCGTATGGACGATTCCATATACCATTATGTTTTAGGGGTTTTCAGCTTCAGTGTCGAGTTGGTGTATAGTATTGAGGGTTGTCTGCGAGAAATAAATCATTTTTCTGATAGATTAACTAAATTCAAAACCAATATAAATATAGTTAACATATATATTTTATTTTAACTGAGTAAATTGATCGGAATGTGAATGATACATAGACCTAAAATTCTTTTTGGTCTATCTCAGTCATGACATTCGCGCGGGAATTTCTTCCATTGACATTAGATTAGAATCGGTGTACATTTCATGAACTGTTAACAAGAATCGCCATGGACTATTCTTTATACCAATATCTGTTAGCCATTAAGGGTTCGTTTGCGTTCAAAGTTTAGTTTAAGTGGGTTTATTTTGCGAAAAAGAACTCAATTTCCCGATAGTTAACGTTTTCTTTATATTTTGCTGTGTCAAAATGACCTAAATATAAAGGACAGTATATAGTCCTAAAAATGGTATATCACGTTCTACTCGTGACATTTTAGCAGGAAAGACTGCCATTGGAGTATATCACCACTGCAACTTTTTAATTTGATCTCATCCACTAAAGTCATTCAAGTAGAACATTTGATGTCGGATTTGTCCACATTTTGGAATATATTAATACATGTATAGAAATACTGTTGAGTCTGTTCCCAGATGCCTGAGATAGACTTCAATATTTATTATTTTTTAAAAATAAGTAGAATCATCTTTTAGAAAAGTTGTGTTCCTATGGTATTAAATGAATCCCCCCTTTTATAAGTTAAAAAGGCTACATCTTTTTTTCCTTTTTTTAAAACCGCAAAATATCCCTCATTTGGGGGGGGGGGGGGGGGGGGGGTGTTCCCAACCTGTTTATAAGTGGAATTGTGAATCAGGCCATTACTCTTCTCAATTGTATTGATGCATACTTTTAATGTCAGGACAGTTTTCCTCATTTTTGAAGGCTGTATGGTTGCCTATAATTGCTTTGTCATTTGAACCTCTGTTGATAGTTGTCTCCTTGGCAATCATATTACATATTGTAATTTTTATTTGTATCCATCCTTTAGAAAAGTTGTTCCGAATGTAATGAATCCCCTCCAGATTCCCCTTTAAAAGTTAAAAAGGCTACCGTACATCTTCTTTTTTATCTTCTTTATAACTTTTTTTTTGAGGGGAGGGGTTCCCAACCTGTTGTTTATAAGTTGTAAATCAGGCCATTACTTTTCTCAATTTAATTGTTGCATACTTAACATGTCGGACTTGTTATTTCTTATTTTTGAAGGCTGTATGGTTGCCTATAATAACTTTGTTATTTGAACATCTGTGGATAGTTGTCTCATTGGCAATCATAGCACATAAACAGATTATTACATGGATTGCAGACCTGAAAAAGATGTTCAAAGTTGAATATGCTGCAAACTACAAACAACCTACTACAACTTATTTACCATGAAACTGTTGATCAGAACTATATATAAGTGATTTCATCCCAGTCCTTATACATGTACCACTATCAATCAACAGAACAAATGCAAATAATTATGATATCATGAAAGGTTTTTTAATAAATCTCGAATCTTTATATCAATATAAACTGTATCCCAATATAAACATGTTGGGCTCTTTTACAGCAGAATATACAGTATGGGGTTTTCTCATTTTCATAGGCCTGTTTACGGGACGTATTATGGCATACCGTTGTCCGTCTGTCTGTCCGTCCGTCGTCAACATATCAGACATTAACTTAAAAACGCTTTAATAAATTTGCATAAAACTTTGGTGAATTGTTTATATCTATCGACGTGAGCTCCCTTTCATTTTTTATAAATTTTAGATTTTACATTTCCGAGTTTATTCTTAAAAAAAGGGGGATTTTCCATTTTCAGACTATAATTCAAAAATGCTTTCAGCAGTTCTCATGAAACATTGGTGAATTGTTTATATCTAGTGATGTAAGCTGCTGCCTTTAGAATTTTATAAATTTTACAGTTTACATTTCCAAGTTATGGGGTTTTATATATTAAAAAGGGGGGATTTTACAGTTTTGGACAATTTTTTTCAGCAATTCTCATTAAAGTTTGGTGAATTGTTTATTTTTATTGATGTAAGCTCCCTTAAATTTCTAATATGACATTGAGAAGTAAGTGAACTTTATTCTTTGTAAATGTGACGGGCGTATCATACGCTCATGGCGCAGCTGTTTATTGAAGGTGGTATGCATATGGTTGCCTATAATTTCTTATTTACATCTATTTTATTTGAATTTAAGGGAATAGTTGTTATTCATATAAACAAATCCCACGTCGATATATATAACATGTACAACAATCAAACATCAACCCACACCAAACTGGATGTATTTGAAAGACATCTAGAGGTCAATATACAGTTTCGAACAAAAGACAAAATAAGGAAAAATATAGCGAATTTTTGAGAAGAATTATTATTACATGTATTTGCAATATTTAAAATATATCGTTTAAAATTTTTTGAGTTTTAGGTTCCACCTACTATTTTAGAAAACTGGGATTTCATTGCGGCTAGTCTATTAGAAGGGTATTTCATTGGTTGTAGATATGGAATCTTATTTTATCATGAAGTCCATGAAGTCAGATTTGAAAACGACTTAAGGAATGAAGGTGGAGTAAAGACCGAATGTCAGTTTTAGTCTTATATATGTACGTCAATGTTAGTCTTATATATATATACATATATTATTGATTCAGTGGTGATGGTAAATAGACACTGACAAATCTTAGATAACATTTTATAGTTTTGAATGTTTCTTCATCAGTTAACTAAAATTAGGCGGAGGTATGTTCTTATTTCCGACAGAGGGGCACTCAACCTATATCAATTTGTGCATGAAGCAAGTTGCTAGATACTGAATGATTTTACCACAAATTTGTGAAAGTTTTAACCGGTGTATATACTTAAAATACGATAATAAAATTCATGTCTTTTTCAGGACTTCTGATCCAACCATGTAGCATGGCATGTTTGTGAAATATGGTTTTGGCCGATAGGATGTTCATGAAGGACCTGTTGTACAAAGTATATCACTGGATTGAGCTCTTTGTCTAAGTGTATTATTAAAGTGCTTTGCTTTGAGCTCAGTTCATTGTTATGCAATTCATTCTTTGTGAAATACAGATTTGACAGACAACTCTCATGTACAAGGAATTGTCAAAGTAGTATCCATTCTATGTACAATGTAAGTAATAGGGAGATAAACGCATTTTATTTAGATTTGAACCAAACATTTTTTGTCCATTAGCCAAATTTAAAAAAAAAGCACAAATTTACCAAACAATGATACTCGCGCTACTAGCAATATGATGCTAGGTTGTTTTGTTACACATTATTTTTATACATCTGTACTGCCTACTGACGACTCAGTCCTGAGTGTAAATGGTCATTCAGTATGTTAAAAAAAAACCCAAAATTTCTAAAGCCTATCTGGCCTAATTGATTTCTAAAACTATATTTCATTGTCCATGTTCAACATTTATCATTCATTGGTTTATTTCTTAATTTGTGTGAATTAACAGTAAATGTTAATTACTACACTTTCATACCACAACAAAACTGCCTTACTGTATTGGTATCACTTATATTTGTATCCATATAACAAAAACAAATTGAAAAGAGAATATTTTTGCAATACCTTTTTCATATTGAATACTATAATTTTTTTAGATATTTAGACATATTAAGTAGATGTTCATAATATCCACTTGAAATTTTATCAGATGACTTCTGTAGTTAGTTATGAGTCTTTGAAGCATGCTCACAAAGGTTCTTTTGTTGATATCATTTTCATACTGGTCAAAACTTTTTTTGCTTTGACTAGCTTTGTAGGAGATATTTTCAAAGAATTAATAAAAAAAATAACACAGAAGCTTACTTTCTAGCTCATCTAGCCCCAATCATCATGTCAGGCATTGTCATTACTAAAAACCATTAAATGTCTTCTAATCTGAGAAACAATTTCGACATTTAAACGAAATCTTTTACTTATGATACTGACGATCCACCACAAAGTAATATAAATAGAACCATACAAATAGTAAGCAAATACATGTTCTCAGATACCATCTCCCATATGAAAAAATCACATTATGAAAAAATGAACCTATTATGTGTTCCTCTCCTAGCTACAAAATGTATCCAAAATCAAAGATGTGGAACATATTCTATCATAATCATTTGGTAATTAATGCAATTAGTGTCTCTTCCATGCCCGTGTTGAACATAAAAAAAACTAAATATTAAATAAACAACACTCCTAATGCTCAGGTTGGTTGTCATTGTGCAACACAGTTAATACGTAGAAAACATAAAACATAAAACACAGAACTCCTTTTGTCATATAAAACACTGTCAAACATCCAATCATATTATCCACACTGATCTGTGTCCACACTTGTTTTGATAAAAAAAAACATTGCAACATTAATGTCATCTTTAAAATAAAAATAGATGGCTGTCGACTGACAGTGACCACACTAATGGCCAGTCGCCATGTTGTGAAGTCACAGTAAACCGAAAAGCGAAGGCACAATGTGGAGGACACCGTTTACAAAGTGTGGTAACGAAACAATCATGTAATAACCCAACCCTATCAATAACATGTTCACCTAAAACAAGCAAAATCAACATATTAGAACCCAAAACATCTTTCTAATCAATCGTTATCAGATTACAGTTTTATATAATATTGAATTCATTGTTAAAGCTTTTAACTTACAAATATTTCCTATAAGTAGGCGTTAAACATTTTACAGTAAACGTATTATTTCAGTATCATATTTGTCCTAACATCAGCTGATTCATACATTTTCGTTTGTCAACATGTTCTGCAATATACTGCCATTATGTCACATGACTGACGAGACATTAATTGTCGAAATGCACATTTTAGTAAAGTAAAATTGGTTTCGTTAAAGTTATTATATGTATGCAATATGTAATATAAAGCTGTGATTCACAACCCTTGTACAAAATATAAAATGATAATCAACAGTAATTTGTTCACACAAATATATTGTACTAGTACTGACGAGGTTGATTAAAGGTTTGAAATTTGACCTAATTGGCTAAAATACAATTTGAACGCATCAGATTTCCTTTCTTTCATTTAACAGCGTTTTAGCACTTGCATTAGTTGCGAAGCCATTTCTGAAACTACAAGGCTTGTTATATGTTCTGCTGAATCCGCAAAAATGCAGGAAAATTTGAGTATTATTTTTAAAACTGTACGAGGAGTTAGAGGGATAATCCATGTACCCAGTATGCATAATTTCACCAAAATATGAATCAGTTCAACATCCAGTCATTGTAAGTCCCATATCCAGTTAACAACTTGCGAATATGGGACAGATAAAACAATAGCTAATATTATATGTATCTACTTCATAATGTAATGGCATTGTCAAATAAGATACCAAACTTTTCGTCCGATACAAACATGCCTGAATTAAATATCTAGTATTTGTGGAAGATTTAAAGATTTTGATAAAAACTAAAATCATGGCAATATGCACACTTTTAATATTTATGTATAACCCTTGATTTTGGAGGGGTTCGTGCTGCTCAGTGTTTAGTTTTTCGCTGTTGTGTTTTGTAGACAGTTGTTTGTCTTTTCGCAGTTTTTTTTTGCCATGGTGGTGTCAGTTTGTTTTCAACTTATGAGTTTTGCCATGGTGGTGTCAGTTTGTTTTCAACTTATGAGTTTGAATATCCTTTTTGTATCTTCTGCCTCTCCTGTATGATATAAAGTTTCTAGATTAAATAAATTCGGATGATTTATCCGAACAAATAGTGTACCTCGCATGCATAAACTTACCAACACTTACAAAGTTCAACATCGTTTCATTTTTTTTTTTGAGATTAGATACTCAATATTTGTAAAAGTTTACCAAAATTATAGTAACTGTTTAGACTTAAAATTTCATTAAATTGTAACAAAATACGCCATAATGTTGTTAAAACCTTGAGATACATGTACATGAGACATGTGATAAC